GAGCACGAAAGCACAACGCTGTGCACAACAAACTCGAAGGCACATACATGCCTGCCCCTCAAGCGCCTAGAGGAAATCCCGCTTGAGTTGAGCCGTCCAAATTTGAGAATGGCCACAAATTCGAAGTCAGTCTCCTACACAGCCACTTCGCAGGGACGGACCTTTTGTCCGCTTGGTTGGGCTCTGTGAACTGGTAGGAAACCCACACAGGAGACCTACCAAAATTCAGAACCCCCTCGTCAAAACCCAGCCCCCTTCCCTTCCCTTCCCTTCCCCCCCCCTTTTTGTTTTGTCTTTATCTATGCTCATAGGTGCTGTCAGGAGAGAACCCTTCCATCGCCACCGCCGCCGCGTTCTGCGGCTCGGAATTAAAGGGCCAGCCTTTACAAAGGCTGCGCCCTAGCAGCGTTTGTGCTGCACGAAGAAGATGACCGGGAACTACCTCAACGCCCTGTGAAGTCCTTTGGTTCCACCATTGGGACCTCTCTATTTCTTTTGGTTGGAGGTGTGTCTGCACCGCTCCTCCTGCCCCCCTCTATCTATTGAGTGAGCTGCTTAGCGACACAAGCGGCTCCCGTTCAAAAGATTTTTCTTTCAATTCGGAGGATTTTTCTTTTGTTCCAAATTCCAATCTTTCCTTTCAACCAGTTTCGTGGGAACACCCCCTTGGGGGGTGAACCGAACTCGAGCGTGTGTAGGGATGAGCCTGAGAAATTTGACACCCAGTTGTCTTTAAGCGGCCTGGAAACCATGGCTGCGTTATAGGTTTGGCGAATCCAGCCTGCGCCGAGGTGTGCAGCCTCCTTCCCCTTGGTGAGGGAGGAGCCCTGGCGTGGCCTGACTTCAAGCCGAACCTAAGCCCGAGCTTAATCGGTGCTGGCCTCATCCACTGCACTAAATCGCACCGCCTGCTATGCAAATCATGGCGACGGAGAGTTCGTTTGTCGGTCTGCCTGTCAGCCGACAGCCCGATTCTGTGTTGTTTCTTGCTATGTTTTCCAAATGTATTGCAATTGCTTTGCTTGTTTAGAGTTGTTTACTCAATGATTTAAACTGGACCCAGGAGGCTTAGCGTGTTGCTAATCTGCATACGCTTCGCTGTCCGAGCGCACGAACGGCCTCGGGCACGGCCGTCGGCCGATCCTTCCTTATAAGGAGATCCCCATGCAACCGAATGGAGCCTTGGATTGTGCCACCGGCACTGGCCCAAAGGGGGGAATCCTTTTGTTTGTGACTTTCTATTCTTGACTGGGAGTGGGAGAGAGTCCCCCGGAGGGGACCCTCGAGTGTTTAAAACTGGTACTCCATTGAAATCGGATCACAGCAGAGGCTTCACTCGTCCTCTAGCTAAAAGAGGTCTAGACCTCGAGGCGGAGTTCACCAAACCTATAAGCCAACCAGGGATCCCATGGCTCTGCACCACACAGCGCACGAGTTCAGGTTCCTTGTGCGATGGTTTGGCCCATTCAATAGGAATGGCCGATGGAGAACGAGCCTAGGAGGTGTTGTAGCCAGACTGTGTTTGCGATCATGGTGCACCAGCAAGAACACGCGACCTTTGTTTTATCTTGAATATGACCTCCCGAAAATGTCTATAGTGCGCCTAGGAGTGCACCCACCGGTTTAGTCTGCTTTAAATAAATTGTGTTTATCATGGGATCTGCGAGTCCCAAGGTGCTTTGGGAAGCAAAGGGGGGAGACGATTTGCATATGCATAACCATGCCCCCACCAGTGAGAGGACCCCCTCCCCTGCCAGGACTGGCACGGTACTGGAAGCCCTCTTTCGCCCAAACACCGACACTACACGCGGCTGCGTGAATGCTGCTACTGTTTATTGCTGCTTGCCTCAATGAATCCCACGGACCGCCTCCGCTTAGGGAGACGATGGGGTTGTTTTACTCAGGGATCGGTGAAGGCTGCTTTATTCCTGGGAAACTGGGACTGTTTGCACACCATGCCTTGTGGTTTAGCTGTGAATTAACTGTTTTGTTGTTTTGTTTCCATGCAAGCAGGTTTGACATGCATTGAGCTGTCACTAGGGCATCACATGCACATCTGAAGTGAACACCCACGGCTCTTACTTGTCTGACGTCATTGCTGCCCCCCCCCTATTTTGATTTGGCATTTTTGGTAAGTATAGGACAGGTCTTGGTATTTTTCCCTTTTCAAAGGAAAGAAACCCGTCCTCCAACGTTAGCTAGATTTAGACAGGAAGCACGGATGCCTCTGTCTGGATGGCGACACCCCGACACCGAAGACGTGTCCGCCTGCCTGCCTGCTCTTTCTGCTGACGTTGCCTGTCATGGACCCGGACTCTGTTCATGACCACACCAAACCAGATCACATAGGGGTCACCAACGCATGGACTTGGACATTCTTTTGCACCTGCCTGGCATGATGACGTTTCACTTCCATGCCAGCGCCTTGGAGTGGCACCCGCCACGTGGACTCAATGTTTTGTTGTCGTGGCAGGCCGAACTTTTAGTTCTGCCGCCGCGAAAGGGGGGACTGTAACGATATGAGCTTATGTTTGTATTTCTGTATAGTGGTGATGCTGCTTATGTGTGTCTCTAGCATGAATACCTATGCATTATGTATTCAGGGATTGCTGTATGTTGTGTGTTGCTTTGTTCTGCATCTCATGCTTGCCTAGAAATAGGCTGGCCTGGGCCTGCCGTTGCACATACGGACCATGTGCGTCCCTGGAATGTATCCCATGACTCTTTGGGATGGAGAAGACACCGCGCCATTGCACCCACTTGGAGAGCTGTGGAAAATCCCCAGCGAACCCCGGCATTCTTGGAATGGAAAGAGCAAGTGACCCTACTCCCTTAATCTGGTTTGGAGATCTAAAGACAATAGCGTTTATGGCTTTGGAGCAGGAACCAGATCTGCAAATCAAGAGGTGTCCATGGGAACGGAAGATTCACACCTTGCCAAAAGGCACCTTTGATGTAGGAGTAGGATCTGCATATTGCCACCACCCCTCAGGAGAGCGTCATCCCCTCGTCATCCCCTCGTCACCCCCTCTTCATCCAGTAGTGATAGTTTAGAGGACGGGTTTGATAGTTTATGGCTGGATAGCACATGCCCCAAAAAGAGTTTATTTAAGGAGAAACTCTCCTTTGTCTCTCTGGTTAACCCACCCTCCCCATAGCAGTGCACTAAGGTGCTACAAGTGACTCTACTACCTAAGTTCTCCGGAGTCGCGACCCAGAGAGCTCACACGTGGTTTGGCTGGTCCTACCTGTGTGCCTTGGAGTTCACAAGCTGCTGCATTTCGGCTGCCCAGCGTTCCAAGGAGGAGAGTTCTTCCTCAGCTGGACCTCAGATGAGTATAGCCGTGCCCCATTGTGTCTTCCCCATTTTGATGCTTTTGTTATTTTCTATGCTGTAATTGTTCTAATGTACTATTGTAACTAAGGAGCTTGTATGAATTTGTATGATTCCGATTTTGTATGCCTGATGAAAAACCTTTAGTAAAGACAACATTTATTTAAGGACTAGCGTGTTGTCTCACTTCCTGGGATATAGCCGAGCGTCTCATTCGCCATCCGACCTCTGTATAGACTGGTATAGAACTTACGCACAGCCACAAACACCCAATTTTCCTTGGTAGATAACTTGGATTGGGTCTCCAGGAATTTCCTGGAGAAGTTGGCATAACAGATCGTACATATCAAGTCCTCCCCTGAAACTGTAGTTGTGATGCGGAAATAAAGAACCACTACACCAAACTGGCTCCATGCTATGTAATGCATGGAAATCTTAATAAAAGCTAATTCCAGGACCCCGTCTTCTTCTTTTAAAAAATGCTTTATCTTTCTTTTTAATGGCTTTTTGTGACCATGTATGAGTAAGTTTTAAAACATAGCCTACTTGATTCAGGAACTGTCCAAATAGCCCATAGGCTGTTGGACTTTACCATTACAGCTAAAGGCTTTAAAATGCCTCTTTACTTTCCCTATAGCACTCTTGCTTTTGCTAAACATATCTACTAGGAGAGAGGGGAATTTCCAACATTGGTACCAGAAATTGTTTTAACTCTAGATCAAAATAGGAGAGAAGATATTCTGAGTAGTTTAGGTGTGAATATGTTCCAAAAAGCAGTTATATTAGTCTGTTGTAGCAAGGTTTTAGTTTAGCTGTGTTATGCCTCATGAGTAGAAGTGAATAACTAAAGGTAAGGTTTAATTAAAAAAAAAAATTAGAGTGCACATTACCATAAATGGAAAGAAGTTCCATTAGCTGTGATTTTGCAGTCTTGGGAACATGTCAAAGTAGAGTTCATTTCTGTATTAATACTGGCTGTTTTATTATAGATTGCAGACCTTTGAATGCTCAGAGGACTTGAGCTTAACATATTAATGATCTGTGAAAAGATAAAAGAAAGATAACAGTGTCTGAAGCAGACTGTAGCAAAGGCAGATTTATATAAGGGTTTGGCAACTCCGGTAGCATAGATGCTGAGTTTTCATAATTACTGCTGTTTTTCTCTCCACATATAAAACATACTGGATTGATGTTGTTTACTGTGGACATTAAAATGACAAATGCATAAGTGCTGATAGGTGCAGATTGATTCATGTTGGAATGTGTGAGAGACATCCATTGTTCCATTTCACAATCGTTTGGGATGCCATTCAAGAAGATGACAATGATTAGCCTCTGATATTGCCACTATCAAAAAAACGAGGTTGTGTGTATAGAGAGTTGGAGAAGGTTATGTGTATAATATTTTACACAGAAAATTAGTGCCTTTAAAATCTTCTATTTATACCTTTTGCACTTCTCAGCTTATCTATTTTCAAATAATATAATGCAGCTCAAAAACCTAGAATAAGTGATCAGGTGCTAAAAAAGAGTAGGATCCATCTTGGGGCACAAATGTCTAAACACATTCACATCTGTGTTTGTCAAGGAGATAATTTCCATCTAAGATATGAAGATCTAGTACACAAAATAGATCTCTTGCAGAGATTTGTAATAGCTGATCTTGGACAAAGATGATACTTGATGATTGCAAAAAAAACCCCTCCTGTTGTCCCTATATTCAAGAAAGGAAACAAATGACCCAGATAATTACAAATTTGGTAGCCAATCTTTACTGGAAGCCGAGGCCCCAGGATAATCATTAAAGAAAGAAAAGGTAGAAGAATCTAACAACATAAGTAAAGCAGCATTAAAGTTAATTCATGTTTTCTTCCTGTGATTTCTTTTTAAGGGGATTTAACTTCTTGATCAAAGAAATTTTGATAGAGTTGATTGTGATGTTCAGTAAAGGAGTAGTGCAAGGTGAAAATAGAGTGCTAAAAGGCAAAAGTTCAAACTGAGAAATTAGTGACATTTAACTAGCTGTCAGTCCTTGAATCTATATTGTTCAATATTTTATTATTGACTTTGGGAAGGAGAATAGGATGCTGATGATATCTGCAGATGAGCCTGTTAAGACTCACTGTTAATATAAAGAGACTGGAAAACTAGCAGGATGCATGGAATGACCTCACGAAGCAGGGTAATGGTAATGGAATGTAATTCATTAGTGTCAAAGTAGAAAGAAGGTTATTATTTTGGGGACTAAAACATATTTGGTGGTTGTCTTGACACTGGGAAAATGAGAATATAAAAGAAATGTGGCGATTCTATTTTAATAGAATTATGGCCATACCACCAGTTTGGGGCTGCCAAGAAAGCAGTAGCTTAGGTCTTGCAAACTGAGAGTCATGGCTTCAGCTAGTAACTGTTCAGTTATAAGTGGTTAAGTCAATTCGGCATGTTTCAGATCGATAGATAATACGTTGGTTCCACTGGAAAAATGGGTGGTGGGCAGATTTTACTGGAGACAAATTATTGGCAGTATTGTTACTTAAAACTTATTATGAAGAATTATTGTGACATTTCTGGAAGGTTTTGCCTTCTGTTATCTGCTTTCTCTTTTTATGTCTCTCAAGGGAAATTCTTTCACTATTGTTATGCCACCCTGAGCCCTTGTGGGGTAGGGCAGGATACAAGTCTAAATAAATAAATAAATGAGTGCTTCTTTACCTCATGAAAGCCTTCTCAGTTTTGCCTGACCTATTCCTTGTTTGTTGTGTGGTAAAGATTCACAGAGGAAAATAATCAAGTATGAAGAAGTATTTATAAATTTTGTGAATCTGAACTTTCCAACACTTGATTTGGCATGCTCCTTGTGATCTTAGTTAAAAAACTTTGTCATCACCAAACAGATTTGTGAATACGCAAACTTTCGCTGGTAAATTTGGGAACTAGATTGAGAGGTGTGATTTTGCAGTTCAACCTCAAGTGTCCTCTGGCACAGCCATGAGGATTTTATCACCAATTGTTGTACAGGTATGAATGTAAACCAACATGGCTCAGTTGTTTCTCCAAAGCTTCCCAGCTTAGTGTATCATGAGACTAGACTGTGCTCTGTGCAGGCTTTTCCCCTATGAAGCCTTAGTGAATTCTCATAGAGGAGTCCTTACAGATGTTTAGTATCACAAATTTAGAAGGGAACAAATGTGTGACATGTATAAAATAATGTATTATTTAACATTCGGAGGTTTTCCTGATAAAGGTGTGGGGTTGCTTCAGGAAAAAAAGGGGAGGGCATCAGTGACTACCTGGAGAGAATGTCTAACAGGAAGGATAGTTAAAGACAATGGAGTGAACTAGGAATGTAGATGTCAGGGGACTTTTCCCTGAGTTTTCAAAGCACAACTAATTTTGGAAGTAAGCCAGTGTTGTATGGAGATGCAGAACTCCCAGAGGCTTTCTGAAATCCATTCATTGTTGCTCTACAAATCCATTTGCTACTTGAAAGTACAGTTGGCTTTGTTGGCATCTCTCTCTCTCTCTCTCTCTCAGTGAACATGATTATTTAATTGCTGAAAGTATTGTAGACTATTTTCAAATGCCTTGTCTTGATGGAGATTGGGACCACTCAAGAGATATGATACATGCTTGGTGCAAGTGAGGTGGAGAGCCACAGCTTATTCTTGCTTGCAACCAAGTTAGCATTTTGAAAACAAAGGGATTATTTTCTAGCCAAGGCTGTTTCACTGCAAGAACAGTTGCCTTATTGAAGAATCTGCTGAATAGGCCTGAGGTCATGATGCAGTTGGGAGTTAGCAAATGGCTTTCTAGATGTGCTGAAATAAAGACTGTTTTACTGTGCAATTTTCTCCTGTTGTAATGCATAATGCTCTAACCTTGGGGACTTGATGGTTACTGGAATGCATTTCTTTTTCTGATGAAATTCAATTTGTGTTTAAAAATCTAAATCAAAAGTCACTGAAAAGGTTAAACTGTTTTGAACATTGTGGTGAGCTTGCATGGAATGTTTTTGACTGCTAGTGAACTTTGCTTTTGGAACTGCAAAAATCCTCAAGTACTTCTAAGAATACATATGATAAATAGACACCTTTTTTACTTCAGTATGTATTAAAGAAATTAAACATTGCTTTCATGATCAGTTGAAAATATGAAATGTGAAAAATGTAATTCAAAATATATAAAATATTACAAATAAATGAGGAAACTGTCATGGTGCCTTATTGTAGAATAATATTTTGGAAGCTGATTTGGTCAGTCAGTTGAGTAGTTATTGAATCACGTCTTATGTGATGACAATGCAAGTTACATTGAAGAAACTTTTAAACTTTTTCTGTTAAATTGTAATGATATTGCATTACAGCCTGATTTATCCCACTAGCCAGGCTTGGATAATCAGGAGTTTGAATAATTAATGATTTAGTGGGGAAGAATAAATTTATCCAAAACCCTTTTATCCCATGGACCTTTCTAGTATTTGGCAAAGCAAGCTTGTTTAATGCATTAACTGCACATGTTTTTGTTTTTGTAATCTGATATCTTATTATTTTTATGAGGGTTTACATTTAATATTCAGAGGAAATTGACCAGGATCCCTGCTCAGTGGTAAATAATCTGCTTTGCACCTAGAAAGTCCCAAATTCAGTCTGTGGTATCCTCAGTTTAAAAGGACTGGGTGGTAGGTGTTGTGGAAGACCTTCTTGACCAGAGTTTCTGGAAAGACACTGCTTGTCAGAACAGGTAATACTGACCTAGATTGACAACTGTGTATGTTAGTTTCATGTGACATTATCCTATGGCAAAATTATCATATATGAGGAGCAATGCTCCCTCTAAACTGTGGAGTCTTGTGAGCAAAAATTGTACTTTGTGAGCTACTGGCATTAAAGTTGTGAGCGAGCGATTTGGCTGCTGTATAAATTAGTTTGCTCTGGAGCAATCCTTCCTGAGCAAAGACAAAAACATGTGAGCCGGAGGTTAAAAAACTTAGAGCTAGCTCACCCTAACTCAGTTTAGAGAGAACACTGATAAGAAGCTATATGACAAGGAACTTTCTAAACTTGCAATCCTAATCAGAGGTTCACCTTTCTATACTCTTTGAAGTCAGTGGGTTTAGAAGGTACAAGTGGAAACCCGCAAGAAACTTGCGGAATGGTTATCCTATTCCTCACACCTTTGCTTCCTCCTGTCTCCCTCTACCTCTCTCACACTCTTT